TAGCATTATGAACACTTTTTATCCTATACGTGTTCATAAATGGACTCTTAATTGTTTTTTAAATAAATGTTCACTTTGATGATAAATTCAGTAGAGTTCATGTTAAGGTACAGTGTTTTTATTTTGAATATTGAAACAGCTGCAATTTAAGATATAAAATAAGCAAATAAGGTATAAAATAAAAGTGCTTCTAAGGTTGTAAAATACTTTGCTGTATTTTTATATTTTATCATGCTATGGACATTATAACAGTGAACTAATTGACAGATAATTATCATTGAGAAAAAACAGACTATCAAAAGCATTCAGAATCTGAGCAGATCTCTTGACTTCTGCATATTTTACCAATTGGCAGCCTCTAAATTTAGTGAATGCCACAGAACGATTTCTAAAAAGGTATCTTAACTCTTTAGAATGAGTAAATGATTGAATAAATTATAAAGGATATAAGGTCTTTTGAATTCGTACCTTCATAAGAAAAGTTGATATTAAATGCATATTTCTACACTTCTACAAATTGAGACAGGAAAATACTTGGTGGTTTTTCCTTTCACCATTAAAATTGCAATAGCATGGGTTAAGATCCACCCCCCATACTTTTTTAAGTGTTTTACAAAAAGATAGAATACAACAACATAAAATTACTCTATTGTATCTGCTTCTAATTTCAAGAAATTGGTTTTACATGATTAATGATGATAATACAGAATATTTTTATTGTAATACCCTTAAGGTTCTAGTTTTTTGAGGTAACGGGAGAAAGGCCCCTATTTAAAGGCTTAAAATGGTGTTTGACTTTAGTAGAAATGAAATCTCCTATACTGATTCTATCATTAGATCCATTTGCAACATTTAAACTACTGTATTTCTTTCTGCATTGTTTCTAGTTTATTAACCTTGCAAGAACGCTTCAGGCACATATGGAAGATCTCGAAAGTAGGTGGAATTCCCCCTCCCCAGACTTGTTGAATTTATTCTTGCAAATTAAACCCACAGAGTACAATCTAAGTATATATATTCTTTTCTGCCAAATTAGAGGTTCATTTATAGGCTTAGTAAAGCAAAAGGATTGACTTGGGAAATATGGGTTGGGCAACTGACATGAATTTTTTAAAAGACTCATAGTTTGCAAACAAATTTATTTTGATACAGGGGATATAATTTTAACCATAATTGTTTCACTTGGATTTTAGCACTTGTAATTAGAAAGATACTAAGTCTTAACTACTAATCAAACCACTTTTTAATCTATTAGTTTTGGGGTTTTTAAATTTGTTTTTGTTAAGAAATAATACTTTTTTTCAGCTTTTGTGAGATCATAACATGTTTTTCCTGGGCTTGTGCAAGGTTCCAGGAAAGTAGGAGAGAAAGGGTCCTGAATCTATAGCAGTAGCTATAGGATGTTTCCTTGGTGGTGGTGGTTGGTGTTTTTTTTGGCCCTTATTCAGATCTTCAAAGACCTTTAATAGGTTTGCTATAGGTTGATTTAATAAGCAGCAAGTTCCTCCAGCAGCTGCAGTATTAAATTCACATTCCAATCTTCATCCAGGTGGGCACACAGGTAATAATGGCTCCAGAGCAGTTTGTGGGAATCTGAGATTATTCCACTCAACCCTTATTTAATTTTACAACCACAGCAATAGGCTTCCCATCCCACAGCACTCTGAGAAGTCCTTTAATATGTATTCTTTTACTTTGTGTAGTCATCTTCAGAATTCTTAGTGTTAAGCCTAACAATTTTATCTTTAGAGAAAGCTCAGTATCCTTTGAAGTCAGTTTGAGGACTTCATGTAAGAACCTTTTAATTCCTTAAATATTCTAAAAGACAAAGATTTTTGTCTTTAAGTTTCTACTACTTTTAACTTTCAAAGGGATTTGAGAGAAAACCAGACAACACATTTTCACATTGTTAATTAGTATTTTCTATCTTCTTAAGCTCAGATCACTTATATTGGCTAATACAAAAGTCTTTAAAAAAAAAAAAAAAGATTTATCTTATTTATTTGAAAGAGTTACAAAGAGAGGTAGAGACAGAGAGAGAGGTCTACCATCCGCTGGCTCACTCCCCAGATGGCTGCAATGGCCAGAGCCGTGCAGATCCAATGTCAGGAGCCAGGAGCTTCCTCCAAGTCTCCCACGTGGGTAGCAAGGGCCCAAGGACTTGGGCCATCCTCCACTGCTTTCCCAGGCCTAGCAGAAAGCTGGATCCAAGCAGAGCAGCCAGGATAAGAACCGATGCGCATATGGGATGCCGGCACTTCAGGCCGGGGCTTTAACAAACCGCTGCACCACAGCACCGGCCCTCTCATCTTTTTTTTTTTTATTATAATTTATGCTTTGTCAGATATGACAGTAGTGATGTTTTGGTTTACATTTTCCCCAGGTTTCTTGTTTTTTTTTTTTTTAACTAACATTCCAAAACTAACATTGGGTTCCCTAACCACAACGATGTCTGCCTCGAACATATGAGAGAGGGAAAAGATGGAGGTAAAATGCTGACAGTGAAAGATAATGGGTGCTACCATTTAACACACAATTACCAGAACATTAATACATTTTGAAAACTGGTTTCACCTGATAATTTCCTCTCCTTTATGCAAACAGAAGTTCCCTGAAAAGCTATTCTGTTTTTTTAGTTTGATATATTTCTACAATCTATTATAAAACTTAGATAGACTTTATTTCAGTTATAAGCTAGGTCATATGCTTGATATTTATTAGAAATGAACTATATCTATAAATGTTGCATACTTTTCCTGTGCTTTGCTCTAGGTTGATTCCATTTGTTGGATACTCTTAAATTGTCCAATACTAATTTAAGCAGAGTACATTAAATCTTTCTTTACTTAGAAATAGGGAAGATGTTGGTTAAATGTTTAGTTTAGCTTTCTTCACATTCAAAACAATCTACAGAATATATAGTTTTATAGTTTATTCTGTCCTTCATACAAACATTCTAGGATGCTTTATTCTAAATTTTGAACCACTAATGACTCTTGAAAAACTTGAAGTTAGAGATGTTGCAGGGTGATAAGTGGAAAATAATCAACAGATTTTCACCGAATCCAATTCTTTTAACTTAGGCTGTGTCTATATAAAGCTTTTTTTGATTTACTAAATCAGTTTTTTTCTTGGCATTGTATAGACATAGCTTTGATGTAAATTGCAAGAACACCCATAACCTATTATTTTATGTACATTTTTTTTCATTCTCATCGGATGCATCAAACATGCAGCGGTAATAAGCCAGATTCTACTCAGGTGTGTGAGAGCACTTGCCTTACATTCACTTTTTCTCTAGTGTGTATATCATTAGCTACTATGAACACAGATTGATCTCAGAAACTTTTTAGAACATGCTCTTGAACCACATTTTTAAACATTGTCATTTTTATAAAACTATAAATAACATCACAAAATGGTGTGTGGGTGGGGGCATTGTGGATCAGCATCACCCACAATCAAACCACCCTAACCCTGTCATGGTAGCTTATCATTTTGACCAAACAATATACTAAATTGGGAATTTTGTTTTACAAGTCATTGCTGTTCTGGCTTCATATTTATACCTCCTGTTCTCTTTCCCCTTAAAATCATTCTTGATCATCCTGTTTTCTTTCAACAGCTTCAGAGGATGAGTCCGAAGAAGATGGAGACCTTAACAGAACATTTGATATTGCCTAACTTCAAATAAGACAAATGGATGGTCTGTGAACAAGTGTTTATTATAACTGGCAATTAAGTGTGATTTAATTTTGTGGGGGAATGCCTGTTAAATATATTGACTATATAAAATATATCTACACACATACACATATACATGTATGTGCATGTGTGTATGTATATTTATTCTCCAGTGTTGCTTAATTAAAATCCGCTGGACCTTTTAACATGGCCAGCAAATCTGATGTTTATAAGCTGGTAATCAAAAGTGTTTTTTCTTTTAGGCGGGTGGGAAAGTGTTACCCTTGTTTTAAAAATCTTGAACAATGCCCATCAGCCCTTTTTTGAGTTTTGATTACTGTAGTCTTATTTATGAAAAATGGTTCGTGTTAGTCTCTTGCTAGTGAGAAAAGTGGAACAAAACTTGCTTTTGAAATAAAATGCCAAATAGTATCTAATTATTTTTCCATTTAAAATGCCTTAAGTTGCAGTCACATTTTGATAATCATTTTCTTCCAGTGTTTCAGAAAAAAATTTTTAAAGAATGGGGAGGTCATAGAGAGCACTGTATTAGGTTTCCAAATTTAATTTGAATTCTAAATTCATTTACCAATAAAATCTAATTTTAAAAAATATAAAATGTATAAATGATGGTTAAATTTTTGTATTGATTTGCAAAATGGAGATTATATTTGATAGGCCATAGTATGTAGATATTCCTTTTAGGAATATTACAGCTGTAAATTAGATCCGAATTGCCTGTCAAATGCTATTTGGTTAAAAAAAATTATTGCAATCTCACGTTAATGGAATATTTTTAAATCCCACATTCAAAGTTTAAAACACTGGTTTTCAATGTGTTTTTTAGTGTTGTCACTTCTTTATAGATAAATATGATATAAATAACTTGTTTGGATCCTGGTTGTTTTTAACTGTTCGTTGGTAATTCTGAACATTTATTTAGTGATTAATAATATTTTTCACTGTCTTCAGAGAACAGATGAATATTACCTATTCACCATGAATGGGCCTACACTATGGTCATGAGATGTGTGTACTTCCGTAACACTGTATTTCTCCTCTGTCGACACCCTTAAGGAACACTTAAAACACTTTCAGGTGGTTTTAGGATAAAGTCTGATGTTATGGCAGCAAACTACTTTTTCAGAACCTAAATAGAAACCGTGTAATTTCTCAAATGTGAGTGAACAGTTTGCCCACACTTAGTTTGTTGGTCTTATGTAAAACCCTGGCTTGAATAAAATACATACTGATTAATTTATTTTACAGTTTGAAATGTTTCCTTTTAAACTGGTGCCCAAAGAAGCCATCACACCTCATAGCCGAGAATTTTATTAAGTTTTCAAATTGTTTCATACAGGAATATAAATACTTCTAAAACATTTGTTCAACTCTTGACTTTGTCTTTGCCTGACTTAAATACAAAATTTCAGTATATTTCTGTGGATCCTTAGGGATGCTCTGAATTACTTAGAATTCAATATGAAAAGTCTTCTGCCTAACAAAAAATTTAAATTAAAATTTAAAAATGTTGACTAAATTGTAGGAAACTTGTGTGTATGATTTATTTATATTTAGTTGTGTCATTAAATGCTATGTGACAGAGGTAATTTTTTTTGTAGTTTCATAGAACCACTTAGCATTTAAATATTGTCATTAGCTTGTGATTTCATTTAAATGTGACACTACAGGAGTAAGAGGAATGTCTTTCATTGGTTATCACTTTCAAATGCCAAACAAGAGACCATATGATACTATAAGGAGTACAAATTCCTAAGAAAATGTACCTTAAAACGTTGATTTTCCAAGGTACTTGGCGAACATAAGAATTATATTGTCATCATTACCTAGAATGAAAATGCTGAAGAAAACAATTTCTATATTCTAAATATAATAAGACAATCTGGAATGTAAATGTGATTTAGCACTTGGTGACTATGGCCTTTAAACCTGTTGAAAATGAAATAGAACATTTAAATAACTTTAAAACACCTTTTCTGAGAGGGGTATCATTAACTAAGACATTGTCAAAAGACATAGAAGAAAATTAGTTGCGTGGAAGGGGATAGTCTAAAGCAGCAATTTCCAGTAATATTTTCTGTAATGCATGTATGGTACACTGTACAATATGGTAACCACTAACCACTTGTGATCTGTGTACTTGAAATGTAAGCAATATAACTGAGGAACTGAATTTTAAACTATATTTAACTTAGGATATCTTCATGTACCTAGTAGTTAACTGGATATTGTAATTCTAGATATTTGAGATAACTGCTTTTAGGGAAGTGGTAAGTTATTAAAGTAGTGGTAGAATCTGAGTAGGAAAAGCAATAGGAATTTCAGGCTAAAGTCCACTGTTAACATTATTATAGTCCATAAACAGTAAAATAGACATATCAGTTAAATACAGATTCTCAAATTTAAAACTCTTGGAAAGTATGATGTGTTTATGTAATACAACATAGCCATACTGCTTAGTTTTTTGTCACCATTTTATAGTTGTTTCTTTAATAATGCCATTAATTTTGAAGAGATGCTTTTGATTCATATCAGTGAAAACAGATGGCAAAAAACTGTGATTTCTGCTGCCATTTGTCAAGCTAGAGTTCCATCTCCCAGTAAGAAAATTCTTCATAATGTAATTGATGAGGTGCAAGTTACAGATTACTTACGCATTCAGGCATATTAAATAATTTTTTGGTAACTTATGCATTCTTTATCTTTTAAAATACTGTTAATGAGCTATGAAAGATGCTAAAGAAAATCACTTGTTTCAGCTTGCTTTTTCCCTGCTTCTTAAATGATTTTCACCTTGCCTTACAGTGTAAACACACTAAAAACTCAGAGCATCATTATTGTAGTCATACCTACTAGTTTTCTTTAGTCTTTGCTTACACAGATCTCATGTCTTTAGGTATAAAACTTATAAATGCTTTGGGAGCCTGAGACAGGTTGTACAGAAAAAGGTGCTAAGAGAATAAGTTCTTAAAGGGACATTAATAACGTTAACCTTCTGGCCAGCCTTCTGCCTTCCCAGCTACAGCTTTATTATTTCAAAAAATTTACAAAATTTTATTTTTTTGACAGAGTTAGTGAGAGAGAGACAGAGAGAGAGGTCTTCCTTCCGTTTGTTCACCCCCCAAATGGCCGCTCCCTGCGTGCTGGCCGATCCAAAGCCAGGAGCCAGGTGCCGCCTCCTGATCTCCCATGCGGGTGCAGGGCCCAAGCACTTGGGCCATCCTCCACTGCCCTCCTGGGCCACAGCCTGGAAGAGGAGCAACCGGGACAGAATCCGGCACCCCAACTGGGACTAGAACCTGGGGTGCTGGCACCGCAGGCGGAGGATTAGCCAAGTGAGGTGCGGTGCCAGCCTAAATTTTTATTAAAAATGTAACCACTTTTGATCAGCACCAAATACTACATGTGATTCAAAATGGTGTATCAAAGTAGTGAGACTGTAAAATTAATATAGTACAGGCTGTTAAAAATTTGTAAAATTTTTATCTAAATCTTGAAAATGCAGATAGAAGAGGAATTGTTACCTGCCAAAATAACCAGTATCTAGGATATTTAAATGTATAGTATTTACTTAAAAATCAGGCTTATTCTTATAACGAAGAATAAGTAAGTAAACTACATGGAAGGGAAAATAGAGCAAGTAAAGCAGGCTGGAGTTTTATCTACTGTACTTTGTTGTTTAGCTTTCCTTCTCATGAAAGGTGCTCCATCTGAAGAGTGGTTATAACCACTAAATTAGGTCTGATAATTCCTTTTCTAAAACCTGTTTTTATAATGAATCAAAAGATTAATTTTTAACAATGAGTACATGAAAATACCATTACTGGAATAAGGGATACCATAAACCTATAATTTTTGATGTCCAAGTTTCATATTAAAAGATGTTGCACAGGAACCACTTACAAGGCGTTTGTTGTTTTAGTCTGCGATTATCAAAAAGTTAGTGAAACTGAACAGCACACTCATCTTCTGCAACTACTAAAACACAGTCGTCATTATAAGGTGATTGGGGTGCCGTTGAAAAAACTGTGGTGAAACCAAATTCAGAACTTCTTTTGTACAGGAACCAAATGATTGCTCCAAAAACTGTCAAAATTACTGTGCTAGCAGTTACCAAAGCTGATATTAAAATGTGGTCATCTGAAAAGAAAAGACAAAATATGTGGGAGGTCAGGGTACACAAGCTGCAAATATTGCATCTTTGGAGTACACAATTATTTCATTGTGTTAAGTATATCATGTCAAGAATTTCCCACATTGAGGAGAAAAATATTTGTTATCAAGACTTGTATTTCTTAGTTTGAAAAGTGGCTATGCTTCAGAATTCCAAGTTCATTTTGGAGTTCTCTGTACTGAGTGTCCTAAAATGGAACTACACCACAATCCTATTTGTTGTCTTTGGCTTTTCCTTCTGAACTAATAAGACTTTATAAATTTAGACCTGCTCTTTTCAGGAATAGCAGATTCAAATTATTTTATTTATTTTTTTTAGGTTTTAACAGGTTCAATACAGTCCATTAAATAAAATACTCCCTTTCTCCTTCTAAGGAATAGTGATATTTTAGATGATTTTTACCTTAATGTGCGTCTATGTGTGTGCCGGGGGTGGGGGGGTGTTGAAAGCTCTTTTATCTGCTGGTTCACTCCCAAGATGGTTGCAGTGGCAGGGGGTGGGCTGGGCTAAAGCCAGAGAGCCTTGAGCAGCTTCTATGTCTCCAATGTGGGTAGCAGGGGCCCAAGTACTTGGGACAGGAACCTAAGAACTTGGGCCATCATCCACTGCCTTCCCAGTGGAAGCTAGATTGGAAGCAGAGCAACTGGGACTCAAACCAGCACTCCCATAGGGGATGCTAGTATACATGGTACTTAGCCCTCTGCACCACAACGCTGGCCTCCAGAGCACTTAAATCATATTTGTGAATCAAAACTGCATGGTGGACCTCGACCATTGAAGTCTGTGTACATCTATAGATGTGTTTTATTTATAGCCAGTGCTTCTCCCCACTTTACTCCCAAATTCTTATTGAATTCTGCAGATGAGTAGCCAGACCTCTCCATTCACTGTTCAGTCATCAAATTTGCACATGCTTTCTAGTCCATCTTCTGTGCTGAGTGACCACCTTCTTGCCACCTTCATACATTATTCTATTCATCTGATCCCCAAACTACATAATGCTCCTCTTAGAAAGTACATACCTTTTAGAATAACCACTGATTGGTTAATTTGTGGCATGCCAACTCTATGTGATGCCCAAGTCCATTTAGTGGCAGGACAAACCAACCCTTCACCTTCATTAATGCTGATTCACTTGCCTACATGGCTTTTCCTCTCCTACCTAATGCCTATCTACCCTTAAAGATTTAAACCCTGCATCATTGCAAATAAATTCCACGAAGTGAGCTTGGGCTAGTCCCTTTCTTGTGTGCTTACCACATGAGTACACCTTCGCATTTTCTTGACAGCATTCTTTCAAGGGAGTCTTCCAGTTTGCATTTGTATGAAAGGGACCTATTAGCCAGGATTGTCACTACACTAAACTGTTGTCACCTCTCTGCTTCAAGCCATTATTGTTATTCCCTTAAATCACAGGCCTAAACCCTTGCTTCACGACAGCCTTTGAAACATCCTTTTCACTCTGTTTAGGTCTTCATTCTCAAATATGGCCTTGGCCTTCCTGTACTCAGTATGTCCTTATTGTGTTTTTCTCCCAACAGTACATGTCTGTGCCTGACATGTATTTATATGGCTGCTGTTTCACCCTTCCCACTAGAATGTGAGCTTGAGAGCAGAATCCTTGCTCTGTGTTCAGTGTCTCACATCAGAAGAAATCTTGGCATGTAGTCACTACACACATTAAAGTACTGCAGATCTACATATCTTTTTGAATGAGTTTCAAGCTCCCTGGAATCTAAAAGCCAAGTGCTCCCAGATTTTCAACTATTAATGATAATTTTGGGGAGTTGAAGACCTATCTTTTGTTTTCTCTCTAGACGTTTTAATTTTTATATACTTCTTAATTTTTTAATTTATATATACTTTTCCCCACCTTGGAGTGTACCTGTACACAGCTTAGAAGTCATAGTTCAGCTGACGCTGTGGTGCAGCGGGTTAAAGCCCTGGCTTGAAGTGCTGGCATCCCATATGGGCGCTGGTTCTGGCCCCGGCTGCTGCTCTTCAAATCCAGCTCCCTGCTATGGCCTGGAATAGCAGTAGAGGATGGCCCAAGTGCTTGGGCCCCAGAACCCTTGTGGGAGACTGAGAAGAAGCTCTTGGCTCCTGGCTTTGGATCAACTCAGCTACCACTGTTGCAGTCATTTGGGGAATGAACCAGCAGATGGAAGACCCCTCTCTACCTTTCTCTGTAACTGTCTTTCAAATAAACCTCTCTACCTTTCTCTGTAACTGTCTTTCAAATAAACCTAAACAAAAAATCATAGTTCTAGAAGGTAATAAAATGAAAAAATGCTGTGTTCCTGCCCTGATAATTAACTTTTGCCAAGGGTTTACAGTAGTATTCTAACATTAGAATTTTAAAATATCTTTAATTGTGGAAATAATTTTAAGACCAGACTGTTAACTTACCTGATAAATACTTCTTTTCAAATGGTACTAAAAACAAAACAAAAATAAATTTAATAAATAAAATTTAACTGGATTTTAAAGTTACTGAAAATGAACACTTTAGCTTAATATTGTTGTTGCTTTTATACTTACTTTAAACTTAATTTTTAAAGAGATATCAATTATCTATTAGCTTGGTTGGTAGGAAAAGAATAAGAGAATTCAAGAAAAAGAACAGTAATCAGAGGAAGGCAGTAAGATGATTCTGGTTGCAGTTTGTAGAAAACGGTAAAATTAAACAACTGTGGCCTTAGCTCATTAACATGGAGCTGTGTATACTTTCTGATCTTTTAGTGTTATTGTTTAATTAAAAACTTGATTCATATAATGATATTCTGAGAGGCACAGTACACAAAAAACACCAGTTTTTAAAAATTCAGATATTCAAAATTGTATGCAGCTACTAAAAATCTATTGAGAAATGTTTACATATCACTGTAAAACTAAGTGCAGTCAGAACTCTTGCCATAAATAAATTCATGTACAGATGGATGGATATAATTCCAGACAAGAAGGCAAATAATTGGAGTGAGATGTATAGTTTTGGGTAGGAGTGCTCTACCTGCCTAAATAGCTTAAATACAGATAAATAAATTTAAGTGTATTCCAGATGTAAATAGAGGAAATAATCAGAGCTAGATGTATAGTTTTAGAGTTCAAGAGGAAGATACTAAGGATGTAAGAAGATAAAATGGCTATTTGTATCATGTTTCAAGCATACCAAATTCATATTTTGGAACCTGTAAGTTCCTTAATGAGAACATTTAGTATCTAAATTTAGAAGAACAAGATTTTGTGTGATGTTTAACAAATTACATCAAAATATTGTTCTGGACCAGGATAATTTTGTTCTTTAAAAAGCATTTGGGCCGGTGCCATGGCTCATTAGGCTAATCCTCCACCTAGCGGCGCCGGCACACCGGGTTCTAGTCCCGGTCGGGGCGCCAGATTCTTTCCCGGTTGCCCTTCTTCCAGGCCAGCTCTCTGCTGTGGTCAGGGAGTGCAGTGGAGGATGGCCCAAGTGCTTGGGCCTTGCACCCCATGGGAGACCAGGAGAAGCACCTGGCTCCTGCCTTCGGATCAGTGCGGTGTGCCGGCCGCAGCACGCCAGCCGTGGCGGCCATTGGAGGGTGAACCAACGGCAAAAGGAAGACCTTTCTCTCTGTCTGTCTCTCTCACTATCCACTCTTGTCAAAAAAAAAAAAAAAGCATTTGGATGGGTCAGAAAAAATTAATATTTTAATCTAGAATAAATGGTAAGCCATAATGTAATTTTTCTTTGCCTAGCAGATATCCTTGGAAGAGCATCTTAGTTCTAAAGTAACGTTAGGATTCTGAAATGACATATGATTATTATTTAGCACTTCTGTTCAATCAAAGCACATATAAAGAAGTTAAGATAACCCCTTTCCACAACAGAAGTGTTTGACCTTTTGGAATCTCTTGTATGAGACAGAATAAAATCATGCCTCATTCACATGAACTTACCCTAACTCTTAAGTTTGAGAATTACGTATTTGACTTCCAAAAAGAGCAAAATAATCTTTAGTCTTGCTGCCTCTGTTTAATGAGGCACACTAACCTCAAAGAGAATTATCTGAAATGCAGTCCCCCTTTCCCCACCCTTGTTAGAATGGAAAAAAGATTTTCAGTCACACTTACCAGCCGCTTTACAAAGTGTTCCTTCCACAGAAGAAACTTCACAATTTCCTTTTTTCCATTCACCTGTCTTGGTATGCAGAAAACCACAGGTGTCAACTAAATCCTCGCTATCATCTTGGGCCGCCCATTTATCAAATGTCATATCTGAATTGTCAAACCACTTGAAACTCGCATCTGTCAGTTAAGGAATATTAGCATTAAGACATTTTAACAGATTTATGTTGATGATCTGCAGAATACAGAGGGAGCTTACTGCTCTGGTCTAGGGGAAACTCCACACAAATTAGAGGGACACTGTGGATCTACACAGAGGGTGTGGATGTGCACAATTCAGGATCCCAGTGGCTGAGAGCCCCAGCGCCAGCTTTGGAGAGTGAGGTGACACCAGATTGCAGCAACTTAAGCCATTGGTGATAAAGCTGCGGGAAGACTCACCTAAGCCATTGGTGATAAAGCTGCGGGAAGAGCCTGAGTCTGACTTGGAGCCCAATGGGGGCAGTGTACCTGCCAACATAGAGGGGAAGAAAGGGGGGAGTACGGTTCTCTCTCCCCAGCCACTTGGCACTTGTGGTCTGTAACTAGCTGAGAGAGGGTGACTGCCATTTTGGACATACCTAACAGCTGTGCCAGCTTGTGTCTGCGTGCCCAGCAACCAGCTAAGAGGAGATGCCTAAGTCTAGTTGGGAGAATTGACAGGGGCTTGGCACTTGTGACTGTGGGAGCCTTGTGTATGGGATAGACTCTGAAAACACAGTGGGTACATGGGAGGGTGCAGGGTGTGGCTGGGTCTCTGAGCAGTCACTGTGGGTGGCTCCACATGATCAGGGCTCTCTGATTGCCTGGTTAGGGTCATTGCTGTGGGACCCATGCTCACACTGAGGACTGCATGGATCCTTTGTGTGGTTCTGTGGCAGCACAGAAGAATATTGCACCCACTGGGGCTAGCGCCCAGGGAATTGGTCTCCTTGGAGAAGAGGTGAGTGTGAGACCAAGCCAACAGAGCTGGTCAAAGCCTCCCTGCTCTGATTTAAAGAAAGAAAAAAAAAAATTTACCACACCCAACTTGGGTGCCACCTTGATACTCCCCACATCCTGGAGCACTGAACTGAACAGAGCTCCTCGGCCACACCCAGCACAAACCTCTGGGTATTCATTGGAAGAGCGGAACTCCACTAAGCCACAGAGGCATAGTTAAAAGCCATGGGGGGTGGGGTGGGGGGACAACTATGTCCACAAATGCCTAAAAATAAACACAGAAATTCAAGAAACAAGACTAAGGAAGACAACGTGATGTCCCCAAAGGAACACAACACTTCAATACTAGAATGTGAAGAGATTGAAGAAATGCCAGAAGCAGAATTCAAAAAATTGATAAACAGGATTACTTAGAAGTATCAGAAACAAATCCACAAATTAAATCAATACATGACATGAATGAAAAATTTTCTGTGAAACATATTAAAGAGAAATCAAAAGTAATACTGGAAATGAAGAATTCAATAGAACAAATTAAAAATGTGGTGGAAAGCTTACCAACACGACAGACTCAGGAGAAGAAAGAATAGCCAAAAAAAAAAAAAAAAAAGTTAGAAAACTAAAAAAGAAAAAAAGGTGCTGGAAATTATGGGATACTATGGCATACTATCAAATGACCCAATACACAGGTCTTTGGATGTCCTGAAGGCAAGGAAAAAAATAATGGATTAGAAAGCCTTTTTAGTGAAAGAATTACAGAAAACTAGCAATTTGGAGAAAGAAAGGGATGTCCAAGTGGAAGCACATAGAACTAATAGACATGAACAGAAAAGATCTTCACCACATATTGTAGTCAAACTCTACAGTAAAATAAGTAAAACATTCTAAAATATGCATGAGAGAAACGAAAGATTACTTTGGGAGGGTCTCCAATTAGACTCACAGCTGATTTCTCATCAGAAACCCTACAGGTTTGTCAAGAGAAAAAAACTGTCAACCCAGAATACTGTACCCTGCAAAGCTCTTATTTATGAATGAAGGTGAAATAAAGACCTTCCATAACTAAGAAATAGAAATAAATTTTCACCACTCATCCAGAATTACAAAAGATGCTTAACATAGACATACTCATCACTATGAAAGAATGTGATACTACATAGTGGTTTAAAAAAATAATGAAATCCTGTAATTTGTAACAAAATGGTTGAAACTAGAAAACAAAATGCTTAGTGAAATAAGCCAGTCCTAAAAGGACAAATACTATACATTCTCCCTGATCTGTGATAACAGAGTACCTGAAAGGTGATCTATTGAAGTGAAATTAACACTTCAAGATGCAATGACTTTGAACAGCCCTTGTTTCAACTGTTGAAGAATAGTTTTGATGTTGATGTTATTGAACTCTTCACTTAGTATAGAGTTAATTATGAGTGTAAAGTTAACTGAAAGTAGATATTAGTTAAAAATAAGAATGGGAACAGGTAAGGGAGGAGAGAGGGGTAGGGTGTGGGTGGGAGGGTGGGTACAGTGGGAAGAATCACTATATTCCTAAAGTTGTATTTATGAAAAGCATGAAGTTTGTGTTCCCAAAATAAAAGGTTTCTGGGGAAAAACAAAACAACAAAAAAGAATGAAAGAACATGAAGGCAGAAAATCTCCCAGTAAAAGTACAAAGGAAATCCTAAGTAAATGATAGGAATATTTATGGAAAAATGGCAGGGCCAGGTCATTACTTATTAATAGTCACACTGAATACAAATGGCCTCAACTCTCCAGTTAAAAGATACAGAGTGGCTGAATGGATTTTTTTTCTCTTTTAATTTTTTTTTAACTTTTATTTAATGAATATAGATTTCCAAAGTACAGTTTATGGATTACAGTGGCTTCCCCCCACCCAATAACTTCCCTCCCACCCACAACCCTCCCCTTTCCCACTCCCTCTCCCCTTGCATTCACGTCAAGATTCATTTTCAATTCTCTTTATATACAGAAGATCAGTTTAGTGTACATTAAGAAAAGATTTCAACAGTTTGCACCCACATAGAAACACAAAGTGAAAAATACTGTCTGAGTACTCGTTATAGCATTAAATCACAATGTACCGCGCATTAAGGACAGAGATCCTACATGAGGAGTAAGTGCACAGTGACTCCTGTTGTTGACTTAACAAATTGACACTCCTGTTTATGGCCTCAGTAATCTCCCTATGCTCCAGTCATGAGTTTCCAAGGCTATGGAAGCCTTTAGAGTTCATCAACTCTTATCTTATTTAGACAAGGTCATAGTCAAAGTGGAAGTTCTCTCTTCCCTTCAGAGAAAGGTACCTCCTTCTTTGAAGATGTGTTCTTTCCACTGGGATCTCACTCATGGAGATCTTTCATTTAGGCTTTTTTTTTTTTTTCTTTATTCCGTTGCTGCCCAGAGTGTCTTGGCTTTCCATGCCTGAAATACTCTCATGGGCTTTTCGTGGCTGAATGGATTTTAAAACAAGACCCACCTATTTGCTGATTACAAGAAACATCTCACCAACAAAGATACACACACTGAAAGTGAAAAGATGGAAGAAGATATTCCTTGCTAATAGAAACCAAAAAAGAGCTGGTGAAGCCAGCTAAATATCAGACAAAATAGACATTAATATGAAAAACGTTAAAAGAGATGAAGGGCACTATGTAATGATTAAGGGATCAATCCAACAGGAAGATGTGACTATAATAAACATATATACACCTAATTACAGGGCACCTGGCTATTTAAAAGAAAAGTTACTGGATCTAAAGGGAGACACAGACTCCAATACAATAGTAACGGGGGACTTCAATACCCTACTTCAATCTGCAATGGACGGATCAATCAGAGAGAAAATCAGCAAGGAAACAACAGAGTTAATTGAGATTATAGATCTAATGGCTACCTAGAAAACTTTTCATCCTACAGTTTGCAGAATACATGTTCTTCTCACTAGTGCATGGAACTTTCTCTAGGATATATCACATGCTAGGCCATAAAGCAAGTCTCAGCAAATTAAAAAAAATTCAAATCATACCATGCATCTTTTCTGACCATCATGGAATGAAGCTGGAAATCAACAACTTAAGAATTTCTAGAACATATGCAGACACATGGAGACTGAACAGCATGCTCCTGAATGAACACTGGGTCACAGAAATCAAAAAAATAAATTTCTGGAAACGAATGAAGATGACAGTACAACATATCAAAACATGGGAGGGTCCAGTGCTGTGGTGCAGTGTGTTAAAGCCCCAGCCCGCAGTGCCAGCATCCCTATATGGGCACCGGTTCAAGTCCCGGCTGCTCTACTTCCAATCCAAGTCCCTACTGATGCAGCTGAGAAAGCAGCAGAGGATGGTCCAAGTCCTTGAGCCCCTTCACACTCCTGGGAGATCTGGAAGAAGCTCTTGGATCCTACCTTTGGATCAGCTCAGCTCTGGCTGTTGCAGCCATTTGGGGAGAGAACCAGCAGATGGAAGACCCGTCTCTGTCTCTACCTCTCTCTGTAACTCTCTCTAATAAATAAAATAACTTTTTAAAAAAAAATAAGATACAGCAAAAGCAGTGTTAGAGGAAAGTTTATAGCAATTAGTGCCTACATCAAGAAATTAGACAGGCACCAAATAAATGAGCTATCAGTGCATCTCAAGGTTTTAGTAAAACCAAAACAAACCAATTCCCAAATTGGTAGGAGAAAATAAGTAATTAAAATTATAAAAAATAAACAAATTGAAAACAAAAAAAATACAAAAGATCAGTGAAACAATAAAAAAAATTGACATACCATTGGCCCAACTAACCAAAATAAAAGGCCCAAGTCAACAAAATTACATATGAAAAAGGAAATATAAAAACGGATACCACAGAAATAAAAAGAATCATCAGGAATTACTACAAAAATCTATATACCAACAAATCAAGAAACCTAGAAGAAATGGATAGATTCCTGGATGCATACAACCTCCTAATGTGAACCAGGAAGACACAGAAAACCTAAACAGCCAAATATCCAAGACAGAAATTGAATCAGTAATAAAGACCCTCCCAACAAAAAAAAAAAAGCCCAGGACTGGAAGGCTTCACTGCTGAATTCTACCAGACATCTAAAGAACTAACTCTAATTCTTCTCAAGCTATTCAAAACAATTGAAAGGGAGAGAATCCTCACAAATTCTTTTTTTTGAAGCCAGTGTCACCTTAATTCCTAAACCAGAAAAAGATACAACAGAAAAAGCAAACTACAGACCAATTTCCCTGATGAACATAGACACAAACATTTTCACCAAAATACTAGCCAATCAAACCCAACAGCACATCAGAAAGAACATTCACTTGGACCAAGTAGAATTTATCCCTCGGATGCAGGGATGACTCAACATTTGCAAATCAATGAATATAATATATCACATTAGAAAACTAAAGAATGAAAACCATATGATTATATCAATAGATGCAGAGAAAGCATTTGATAAAATACAACATCCTTTCATAGTGAAAACTTTAAGCAAATTGGATATAGAAGAAATATTCCTCAACACAAGCAAGGCAATTTATGACAAACCCACGGGCAGTGTCCTATTGAATGGGGAAAAGTTGGAAGTATTCTCACTAAGATCCAGAACCAGAAAAGGATGCCCTCCTCACCACTGCTATTCAATATAGTCCTGGACATTTTAGCCGGAGCCATTAGGCAAGGAAAAGAAATCAAAGAGATACAAATTGGAAGGAGGAAGCTACTATCCCTATTTGCAGATGACAAGACTTTATATATAGGGGATCCAGAAGAGGCTATTGGAACTAATAAAAGAGTTTGGTAAAGTGGCAAGATACTTTAAATAAGAGGTTTCTGAGGGGGAGGGGGACATAATGTCAACTGGAAGTGAAATAAATTTAGAATTTAAAAAGATTAAAAAATGACATGTTCACAATGAAAGAAGACAATTTAAAAAGGTGTCAAAGCAAAGGTTCTAGGATTAAAGAGAATGTTACTAAAGTATGTCTGATCTAAACTTTTGCAGTATTAAAGTTAGGAAGGGAATATATGTGAACAGGAAAATCATCACAAATCATTAGTTTCAGAGAGTTCTTAAAAAGATCCAATGTATGTAAAGAAAAAAGCATTTTTATGGGCAAAAAGACAAGAAAAAGTTCAAATGTTAATAGTAACTTTAGTAATTTCACTCCATTTGAAAATGTATATATGTGGTTTCTAGATTTTATACTGATTATAAACACATTTACATAAATATAGCTTTGATAATTCATCTATTAATTGCTGACAATAACACTAATTTTGTGACTATGCCATATTACAAAAACAGTGAGCTTAGAACCACATTTTTTTTTATTTTTTATTTTTTTTGAAGAACCACATTTTAATCCAGAAAAGAGGCTCAATGGTGGCTCTCATTGTGAAACACTGCTGTTCAGGTAAAAGGTATGGTACGAGTAGGTGCATACTGAAATACAGTAAATAGAGGCCACAGGCAAGCTGAATTTGAAATAGAGAATTAAAAATTCCAAAAGCCATGACTTACCACTAATAGTAAGGAAAGGAAAAGAAAGAAGTCATGTTTCACAAGATAAATGTCACTTACCATCTGTGTCATAAAACATGCCTAGTAGGATATCATCTGGGCCTTTCCATTGCTTTTTCAAAGTATCTAGTATAAAAGCATTTTCTTCTTCATTATGTATGCTTATCATATCTGCTCCTGAAATTATTTTAAAGAGAAAAAAGCCAACATATTCCAGAATCAATGAAAATCATGAGCTATTTAAAAATTATGCATTATTATTCATACAATATCTTTAAAAGAGACCTTTAAAAACCCCAATTTAACAAGGGAAAAGAAAACAATAGTACCAAAAATTTCCCCCATATATACCATGTACTGTTAAAGTAGAAAGTCACAAACTGAAGATACTTTAATAGCTCTACTATAAAGAAAAAAAATTGGTCTCAGACTGTTAAAAGGCAATTCATCCTCATAAAAAGAAATTTTAAAAGTGTGTGAAAAACTCAATCTTATTGGTAAAAAGATAAAAATTGAAATAAGTAGGCTTTCAGAATTGCAGATCAAATAGTGCTGGCCTTCAGAGTAGAAAAATAGGATTTAATAAGTTATTCAGAGTGAAAAATCAGTAGTCTTGGAGAAGATTTGGCAAAATACTTTAAAAATCCCATATTCTTTGACTCATCAATTCTTAACAATTCACGGTAATCACTACCTCCTAATTGGTAATCACTGGCTCTGTACTCAAACAGACACAATTATTCACCCCATGTTCACAAATACAAATTTGTGTCCACCAATCACAAACAGGCCCAATCATCACGTTGTGACGCTGAAACACTGGAACAATCAGTGTTAAGAGTCCTAATTAATCAGTTAAGGTTCAGCTGGACAGCTGGATAACATACGGTTACTAGGAAATATATATTCTCTATTTGCTGCCATAGAGAGACACTTTTAAAGCAAAAATGCAGATTATAAACAGTGGGCCTAGTGTTATCCCATTTTTATTTTTAAAAAGATTTATTAAAATACATTTACATAGAAAATCTAGAAGCACAGTTATCAAAATGTTAATCATTAACTTAGGGTGCTGGAATTTAGGGTGGATTTTGTTTTATTTTTGAAATATTTGCCTATGTGGTCTAAATTTTCTACAGTGATCATGCATTGTGCAGGAAGAATCTTTACAAAATAAGATTGACCTTTAAAATACTTAATATTTTAATTAGTCCAAAGTCAGAATTCAGCAGGGTTCTTTCTCTGGGTCAGTTCTCTCTTTTTCAAAAATGCTATGATTTTTTTTAATCAGTTCCAGCTGCTATTACCTCTTGTCTGTTAAATGTCATAGCGATTTTAATCTGTTTTACTGTAGTACTTAATTGTGAAATGTGATCAAATTGCTATTCTGGGGAAATCCTCAAGGGAAATAAGATGGGCCTTCAAAAGTTCACAGGAAATGTAATCAAAATAGAAGTTTATTTTTGTTGTAGTAAGATTCTAAAATCCATGCATAGATTTTTGATAATACACTTCCATGAACTTTTTGAAGTACCCTCATATTTAACCAGATTATAATTTAGGCTTTTGTATCTAGAATTGAGGTGGTTTTTGTCTTCTGTTCTCTGACCTTGTGGCAACCAATGGAACTTTAATGATTTTTGACACTGTAATCTAATTAAACAGATATAGACTCAAATTATGATGTCAGGCAAATAAGACACACTTTTACTTTTTTGAACAAATGACAGCATAAATCCCCAAAGAATGCCAAGTGCTCAGGAAAACTTTTTCTTTCTTTTTTACAAGGCACTACCAGTGACATTATCTGCTACGATTCAATTTGGGTCTTTAATTCTCTTTATGCCTAGTGGCATAGCTTATATACCAGAAAAAGTAAATGTTACAAAATAAGAAAAGTTTTAGCATCTCATAATTACATTCTCAAATGAGTAATATTTTTTAAAAGATTTATTTATTTGAAAGGCAGAGTTACACAGAGGCAGAGGCAGAGAGAGAGAGAGAGGTCTTCCATCTGCTGCTTCACTCCCCCAAATGGCCACAACAGCAGGAGCTGTGCCAATCCAAAGCCAGGAGCAAGGAGCTAGGAGCTTCTTCCAGGTCTCCGATGTGGGTGCAGGGGCCCAAGGACTTGCACCATTTTCTATGCTTTCCTGGTCATAGCAGAGCTGGACTGGAAGTGGAGCAGCTGGAACTCAATCCGCGCCCATATGGGTTGCCAGCACTGAAGGCATTGACTTTACCAGTTGTGCCACAGTGCAAGCCCCATGAATAATTAAAAGGAATAAATAAATACATTAGCACATCAAATAAATTGGCACAAAGTACTGGGAATATTTATATACAGTTATTTTCTGTAGCCAAATGGTAGTTTTAAGATATGATTTTATAGGGTTGGCATTGTGGCATAGTGGGTAAAGCCACCACCAGGTATCCCAGTATCCCATTTGGGTACCGGTTTGAGTCCCAGCTGCTGCACTTCTGATCCAGCTCCCCACTACTGGTCTGGGAAAGTAGCAGAGGATGAACCAAGTACCTGGATCCCTGCTATCCATGTGGGAGACCTGGAAGAAACTCCTGGCTCCTGGCTTTGGCCTGATCGAGTCCTGGCCAATGTAGCCATCTGGGGAATGAACCAGCAGATAGAAGCTCTCTCTCTCTCTTTCTCTGTAACTACCTTTCAAAAAAATAAATCTTTTTAGAAAAAGATATGATTTTATATGGTGGTAAAGATTTTATCCAAATATAAACAGTCTAGCATTTCTTATGCTTTTTTTTATACATAGCAGAGAAAACACAATTTGTGTCAACACACTGTTCTAGCAAAGTACTATCCTAGCCAAAAATAAGCAACAATAGCACTAACTACATTTAGCTACTTTTCTGGTTCACTGATGAAACGGGTAGCTCCCTGATAGAAACAAATGTATATGATTATCAAATAATTAGAAGGGTTATTTGAAATGCATTAAAACTTTATAAAAATCAAATCAGTAATTACAATTTATCAATTGTACACCAGGGAAAAAGATAATTTTCTTTAGACACAAGACAAATTTGGATACAATTTAAACATTTTAAATAGCTACTCTGCTTCAACAAGTAGAAGTAATGGACTTCAAAACAAGGAATCAAAAATCAAGGCACAAATCCACCTTGGTGTTGTGGTTTTTTGTTTGTTTGTTTGTTTGTTTGTTTTTTGCCAGGCAGAGTTAGAGAGAGAGAGAGAGAGAGAGAGTTATAGAGAGTGAGAGAGAGAGACACAGAGAAAGGTCTTCCTTCTGTTGGTTCGCTCTCCTAATGGCCACCACGAAGCCAGGAGCCGGGTGCTTCCTCCAGGTCTCCCATGCGGGTGCAGGGACCCAAGAACTTGGGCCATCCTCCACTGCCCTTCTGGGCCACAGCAGAGAGCTGGACTGGAAGAGGAGCAACTGGGACTAGTACCTGGCACCCCAACCGGGTCTAGAACCCTGGGTGCCGGCGCCGCAGGTGGAGGATTAGCCAAGTGAGCCACAGTGCCAGCCAGTGTTGAGTGTTTTTAATTGAGCTGTACTTTGCTGAAGATAATAATGGCTACAGCTAACTATATTTCAATCAGAGAAAGTCAAGATGCACTAATTACGTCTCTGTATAAAGAGCTGTTTACCTGAGATAAGAATTAAAGTTGGCCAGTGAATTTTGATCCTAACATTCATGCAAGCTACTAAGTATATGAACATGCCTTTTCTTGACTTTCCAGATATAATTTATGTTATTAAAATCTATGGTTATTGGCTGGCGCCACGGCTCACTAGGCTAATCCTCTGCCTGCGGCGCCAGCACCCTGGGTTCTAGTCTCAGTCGGGGCGCCGGATTCTGTCCCAGTTGCTCCTCTTCCAGTCCTGCTCTCTGCTGTGGCCCGGAAGGGCAGTGGAGGATGGCCCAGGTCTATGGGCCCTGCACCCGCATGGGAGACCTGGAGGAAGCACTTGGCTCCTGGCTTCGTGTCGGCCATTAGGGGAGTGAACCAACGGAAAAAGGAAGACCTTTCTCTGTGTCTCTCTCTCTCACTGTCTAACTCTGCCTGTCAAAAAAATAAATCTATGGTTATGTCTAAGTATGCCTAGTTTACGCTTTTTCTTTTCAAATGAAAATAATATGTATTAAATACCATGTGGACTTTAATAGGATTAAAAATTCTATATTTACATTTATTCCTTCTTTAATAATTGAAAATGATTTAATTGTGGTGCCCTAATAAAATTTGCTAGTGTTCCAAAATGTTATATTGGTGGACTGTCAGAATTGTCTTTTAGGCAAAGGGCATTTCTAAGTGAGTTGTGAATATGCTAAGACAAAATTTAATGAAAAGGGTCAAGAGATTTTAAGGTCTTCTACTATAATTTTAAAACAAAAGGACTTTTTTTTTTTTTAAAGATTTATTTATTTACTTATTTGAAAGAATTAGAGAGAGAGAGAGGGAGGAAGAGACTAAGTGGGAGGGAGGGAGGGAGGGAGGGAGAGAGGGAGGAAGGGAATATATCATCTACTGGTTCATTCCCTAAGTGGCTGCAAAGGCTGGAGCTGGACCAGGCTGAAAAATCAGACTCGGGTTGGTATTTGGCGTGTGGATACCCATGTCCCATACTGGCGTGCCTGAGTTAGACACACTCTGATCCTGACTCCAGTTTCCTGCTGGTGCAAATCCTGGGAGGCAGTGCTGATGGCTTCAGTGACTAATTTTTCCACTCACCTGGGGGACCTAGGTTGAGTTCCTAGTGTCTGGCTTCAAACCCAGGGAGTGGCTACTGCAGCAATTTCAGGAGTAGACCAGCAGATAGGAGACTTCTTTTGTTTTCTCTCTCTCTCCCCCTCTCTCTCTTTGCCTGCTTCTCAAATAAATAAAACTTGAAAGGATTAGGAAGCGTTAGAACAACAGAATCAAGAACTCCTGTATCTGCAGATGAGAACTGCAGCTGAAAGGGATACCTGCTCAAAATGGTTTTAATTTGAACTAACAAATTTAACACTAATTACAGGCTTAACAGAATATGCCCATTGGGCCACAAAGTCAAATATATAAATAGCCTTCAAGCACATATTTTTATTGTTATTTTTTAAAAAGTTTTAAAAATTATTATTTTTATTTATTTGAAAGGCAGAGAGAGAGAAAGAAATAAACTACCATCTGCCGGTTCACTCCCCAAACACAACAGCCAGGGCTGAGCTGGGGCCAAAGCTGGGAATCAGGAAATCAATCCAGGTTTCCCACATGGATGGCAGGAATCCAGCTATCCATCACTGCTGCTGCGTCCCAAGGGTTACACTGGAGAGGAAGGAACCAGGCAGGAAACTGAATCCAAGCACTCCGACGTAGAACACCGGCAAATTAAATTCTAGGCAAAATGCTTTCCACATAACTGCTTAAAACTGACATTCTTTACCTAAATTATTTCACAACATGAATTTATAAATGTACTTCCCAAAGAACGTTGAGTGTATACGTTGTCAAACAGCCTTTTTATCTAATTTTTTTAAACCGACTTCATGTGCTGGTTCTAATGTAATCTGATTTTGTGAGTCCTGCGTGCCGAAAGCATTTTCAGGGCAGAATGACAGAGATTAAGAACTCCATGCCAGCCGGCGCCGTGGCTCACTAGGCTAATCCTCCGCCTTGCGGCGCCGGCACCCCGGGTTCTAGTCCCAGTCGGGGCGCCAGATTCTGTCCCGGTTGCCCCTCTTCCAGGCCAGCTCTCTGCTGTGGCCAGGGAGTGCAGTGGAGGATGGCCCAAGTGCTTGGGCCCTGCACCCCATGGGAGACCAGGATAAGTACCTGGCTCCTGGCTTCGGATCAGCGCGATGCTACGGCCGCAGTGCACCGGCAGCAGCGGCCATTGGAGAGTGAACCAACAGCAAAAGGAAGACCTTTCTGTCTGTCTCTCTCTCTCACACTATCCACTCTGCCTGTCAAAAAAAAAAAAAACCTCCATGCCTAAAATCCAACAAAACTGTGTTTGAATCTTGGTTCTGCCAACTATTTCCTGAGTGACCTTGAATAACTAACTAAATTCCTTCTCTTCATAAAAAAAGAGGTCAATAAAATACTTGATAGACTTAAATAGATATGTTTAACTGCAGTGCCTGGCACAGGGCACTGCCTGTGGCTTGTGTGGTAGAACAAAAGTTCTACATTAATTTTAAGGACCAAACTAAACGTGAGATATAAGAACCATTTTTAAAAAGAAATCAGTGAACATTAGTAACTAATTGGGAAAAAAACAAAGAAGAGGAATTCCCTTACCATAATGAGTACACTGGTTTCTGACATCTTCTATGCTTTCTACTTGACTGGCTTCTTGAAGAAAGATGTAACAGTTGTCTTGGAACTGAATCCAGATGGAAGAAGGACAGTCTACATGGAAAAAGAAAAACACTATTAATTAACTTCAGAGTAGGAACTACATAAATTCCTGAAGATAAGGACATTAGACACTAAATTTCCCCACACATAAAAATGAAGTTTCCTTTGTTAAATCGTTGTTAAAACAAGAAATCAGTGTAATACAAACTTGTCTCTATCCATTATACCTGTGGAAAAGAGAAATGTGGAAATGACTCTATTCTGACCAGACAGAGCAAAGCTACGGACTCAAATAAGTTTTTTTAGGAATTCAGATACATAAATTACAGCCCTCTTACCAAAGCAACAAACAAGGAAGAGAGACCATCAGAATTCCAGGCTTCTCTTTGAAGGTTGTCTTTGCAGTGTATCATTTCAAAGGTCTGAGAGTTTTAGAAGGTCTTTCGTTCAAATGATACCCCCAAGAACAGAGAGGGGAACAAGCTGTTAGATTATGAATCATCAGATACTTTCATACAGCTCGGGAAAATAAGGCTGGTGTTCTGGTGAATGTCCTTAACACTTCATCAAAGGAGACTCTTCAACCTACTGCTGTCACCGAATTCTTCCTCTGCTGAGTAAGGCAGAGGGTGTCTCCATCATTTCTACCTTGGTTGTCTTTTGTTCATTAGGATGATGTGCATTTTTAAGCAAACAATCGAATTTTTAAAAAAAAAAATATTTATTTACGTGGAAGTCAGAGCCATAGAGAGAGGGAAAGAGACAGAGACAGAGAGAGAGAGAGATCTTCCATCTGCTGGTTTACTCCCTAGACAGCTATAATGGCCAGGGCTGAGCCTGGCCAAAGCCAGGAGTCAAGAGCTTCATTCGGGTTCTCCTGGTGGGTGGAAGAGGCCCAAGCACTTGGGCCATCTGCTGCTGCTTTTCCCAGACCATTAGTAGGGATTGGAAGTAGAGCGACTGAGACATGAACTGGTGGCGATATGGGATGCAGGAGTAGCAGGTGGCAGCTTTACCTAGTCTGCCACAATGCCGGCCCCTGGAATTTTCAATAGTTTATAAGCACAGGTATGCAAGAGCTTAATTTCACTGGCAAAAAAAAGAGGAAGCAGAAGAGGATTTAACTTAATCCCAGTGAATAATGGAGCACAAAGCATTAAGCTTCCATATTCTCTTAGGTTTATATAGACAAAATCTTAGTGCTCTTACTATCTCAGTGATTTTACCTACATAGTTTTATTTCATTTAAAAAAAAACTTGCTTATTTATTTGAAAAGTAGAGCAGCAGAGAGGGAAAGAGATCTTCCATCTGCTGGTTCAGTCTCCAAATCCTACAACAGCCAGCACTGTGTAATGCTGAAGCCAGAAGTTAGGAACTCCACCTGGGTCTCCCACATGGGTGAAGATGCCCAAGTGCTTGAGTCATCATCTACTGCCTTCCCAGGCACATTAGCAGGAAGTTGGATCAGAAGTGGAGCAGACAGGACTTGAACTGTCACTCCGATATGGGATGCCACAGCCAAAAGCAGAGGCTAAACCTGCTGTGCCACACACTGGCAATGACACCAGCCCTACATTTTGGTGTTTAAGCTCTGCATATATTAAAACTTTAATAATAATAATAATAAAAAGCAAGTAGAAGCATGCCCTATTACAAAGATCAGAATCTACCAATCAGCTATGTTAATCTAAATTTCCTGATACTCTTGGTTTTACTAAGCTCAGAATAGTTATCGCTACTGCTTGAATTCGGTTTCTCACAGCTCAGAGCACAAGGCCACCAAGTTAGATGATTTCCCAGTCCTGTGGGAATTTCTGGATAATGAGGTGTTAGCAGAAACAAAATGTTCATCATACAGATCTTGCCTTTCAAAGGAAAGCACATACTCCTCACACCACACTTCTCCTTTCCTACTGGTTAAACTGTATTAACCACCTTTAATTGTATGGGCACTGAAACATTCTCAGAATAACAGGACAATAAAAGGGGAAGAATCCTAGGTGGAGCAGTCATATCAACTCAGATCATAATGAGAGAAAAATAAACTATACTGTTAAGCTATTGTTAATTCAGATCACTTTTATAGTAGCTGAATCAATAATGTAATCAATACAACATGCCACTTAAATTTATGCCAGAGGGGCCAGCATTGTGGCGCAGTGGGTTAATGCCCTGGCCTGAAGCGCCGGCATCCCATACGGTTGCCGGTTTGAGTCCCGGCTGCACCTCTTCCAATCCAGCTCTCTGCTGTGGCCTGGGAAAGCGGTAGAAGATGGCCCAAGTCCTTGCACCCCTGCACTAACATGGGAGACTCCGAGGGGGCTCCTGGCTCCTGACTTCAGATCAGTGCAGTTCTGGCCATTGCAGCCAACTGGGGATTAAACCATCGGATGGAAGACCTCTCTCTCTCTCTCTCTCTCTCTCTCTCTGCCTCTCCTCTCTCTGTGTAATTCTGACTTTCAAATAAATAAATAAATAAATCTTTAAAAAAAATTATGCCAGAGTGTGAAATGTGAGCTTTCCCTGATCTCTCTCTACCACATTTAGTGGCTAAACTATCCAAGATGTACTGGGGTAAGTGTAGATGGCCCAAGATACAATTTACTTCATTGGTAGGTGTTTTGTTTGCCTGCAGTTTTATGTAAACACCTGCATTATATGTATGATTACATTGGCTTAAATTCTGGCAAGTATCCAGAACTCTCACAGTATGGTGGCGTAAAGATTAGCCGAATAGAGACATTTTGGTAACAAGCACTTTCTTTGGGAAAATGTTCATAATTAAATAGTAAGGAAGAAAACCTAGCTATAAAATGGAATGCGCAGATTGGGTATTTATGGTAGGTATTTAGCCTAGTGGGATAAGATGACCACAGCACATTGGAGTACCTGAGTTCCATACCTACCATTACCAATTCTGTTTCCTGACTCCAGCTTCCTGCTAATGTGGGCTCTGAGAGGCAGAGGTGATGGCTCAAAGTTCCTGTCACCTACCTGGGATACTTAAATTGAACTCCCATTACCTGACTTTGGTGTGGACCACCTCTGGACATTGTGGGCATTTAGGAAGTGAATCAGAAGTTCTCCATTTCTCTCTCTGCCCTCCAAATAAGCAAACAAAATGGGCAATAATTTTCCAATATTCATAACACAAGGAAGTTCAGAAAGATTAAGGAGGTGGATTCAAACACCCTGAAAACAAGGCCCTAAATTCAAAGCCTGTGCATGAAGCAGCTAGACCCTCGTATCCTCTTCCGGAGAAAAACACTCAGCCATCTCAGGTGCACTATACATTTCTGCCACCTTCTTTGAAAGCCTGGCCTTTACTCAGAGGAACAACTTCCATTTCTTCGAATCCGCTAACAGATCATCAAATGTTCTGTTTATCCTTTGAAGTCCAGACCTCTGTCTCTACACCTTGTCCAAGAACTCACCACTTGAATTTACTTCAGCTTTAGCCTGAAGCAACACCATACAGTTCTCTCTCCAAAGCTGTCATCAGTGGTGAATGACCAGGAAGTACACAGCTTTGAAGTGAGACAGATTTGGGTTTGTGTCTTGATGGTGAGACCTTGGATAGTATATGTTATTTCTTGTGTTTCCTCATGAATAAAGAGGTAATACCTGTATCTATCTCACTGGGTCACTGTAAAAATTAGGAGAAATGCTGCAAAACTGCACAGCACAGTTCCTAGGGTAAAGAACTCCAAATACGGAGCTTTGAGTAACCATCATGATTCCTGGTATCTTTCTCCCCTAGACAGTGAGCACTCTGAAAATAAGGACTGAATCTTACTGCTCGTGGGAACCCCAATACCTCAGATAGCTCTTATACTATAATAGGGACTTAAAATATTTTGCTGAGTAAGTCTTTTTCTTCATTTTTAAGTGCCTTAATTATCACCTGTTCACACCTTAAACAATCCCTTTCCTGTAGATCCACCACTTCTTCCTTGAGGCATCTTAAGTTTCTTATATCTGAATATACAATACTCTGAATTCACAACACAACTAAATTCACCTGCTGCTGATTCTAATGCCTTTACTGGTATATTGTTTAAAAGGCAAACTTTATCTTCAAAAACATATTTTATTTATTTGAAAGGAAAGAGTGACAGAGAGACAGAGAGAATCTTCCATCCGTTGGTTCACTCCCCAAATGGCCAAAATGACAAGGGCTGGGCCTGGTTGAAGCCAGGAGCCTAGAACTCCATCCAGGTTTCCCATGTGGTGTCAAGGGTCCAAGTATTTGGTCCATCTTCCACTTCTTTCCCAGGTTCATTGGCAAGAAGGTGGATCAGAAGTGGAGCATCCAGGACTTGAACCAGCACTCATATGGGATAACAGAGTGGCAAACAGAGGCTTAACCCATTAAGCCACTGTGCTACAATGCTGGCTCTGTAAACTCTATCTTGAAATACACATACCTTCAATGCATACGTCATAAACAAATAGCCTGGTATATTTTCATAAAATGGACATACCCATATAGTCATCAACAAATAAAAAAACAGAACACAGACCCTTTTCGGTCACAACTCCCTTCCAAAGGTAATCACCATCCTAACTTCTAACACTCCAGATTAGTTCTAATTGTCTTGAACTTTACAGCAATGCAATCATACCCAATATATCCTTTTTTCAAGGTATAGTGAGTACTTGCTGGTTTTTTCTCATTGCTATCTGCTATTGTATAAATATGTCCATTCTGTTAAATACTTGAGGTAGTTTCTAGTTCATGACCATTACAATGAATGTTACTATGAAAATTCTATGTATGTATTCTCATCTAGAAGTGGATTACTGCCTGCTGTAGTTTGAGAGACCCCTTCCAAAACTTACATGGAAAGATAATTGCTACTGTAACATATTAGGAGATGGTGTGGGGCATTTAAGAGTTGATTAGGCTTGGGACTGGCGCTGTGGCGCAGTGGGTTAATGTCCTGGCCTGAAGCGCCGGCATCCCATATGGAGCCCGGTTTGAGACCCGGCTGCTCCACTTCCTGTCCAGCTCTCTGCTATGGCCTGGAAAAGCAGTAGAAGATGGCCC